ACAACTGATTTCAAAACACAAGAAATGAGGCCACTTTAAAATCACTGAAGTGTTAAAAACAGTCAAAAAGAAATTACAGAGAGGAAGGAACAACCTAGTCTGATTAGTAGCATTAGAAGAAAATCCAGTTATTCTGAACACTTATTTTCAGCTCTTTACATACAACAACAAAAAAAACACTGCCTGTTTATTATAGGGGAACTCCACTGCAAAATGAAATAAATATGATGGAGTAGTAAACAAGCTCAAATTTATTCTCACGGTTTTGTTTTGTTTTTTAAACTGAATGGAGCCAATATCCTTCTGTTATAGGAATTTCGGAGTCTGAACTCTGTTTAGGCATTGGTCTAATTTTGTTTATTTCCCTCTCCTTTCAGATAAAGCCCAGCCATGTGGGCAGGGCTGGGGCTAGTTCTGGCTGTCTGTCTCCTCCCTGGAGGAGGGACAGAGATCCAGAACTGCAGGGAGCCCCCAGAATGGCGTATTGGGGAGGAGAACCCGATGCTGAACTCTAGGGGCTCGGTGACGGTGGTGGCACTCCTCCAAGCTAGCTGATACTTGTGCCTGCTGCAGGCTTCCAGGTAAGCGTAAATCTCTTTCATGGTTTTTGTTAAAATATCACTGGTCAGTTTTTTTTAATGCCATCTGAGGATAGTACCTGTGGCCAACTACAGATGCACTGAATGAACTTCCGCTTGCTCAAATGCTGCCATCCCAGCTGGCATGTGTGAGCCAGTGACCAGGTTAACTCTCAGGAGATGTTGTGTTCTGTGCCAGTGGCTCAGATTCTTTCTCTCTTAGTACTAACTGACAGATCATCTTCTCCAGATTGCATTAACAACGATCAACATAACATTGATGACATCCAAAGCGCATGAAAACCCAACAGAAACAGTTCCGCAAGAGCTATGCTTCAGTTAGCAACAAACGATTATTGTAGCAAAGACGGTACATTAAGCCGAGAAACATCATAACTCTCTAGAGTTATGGCTAGAACACCTGAAACAGAGCTGTGATCACTCATTTCTTATGTAAGATCTGTAGGGGAAAAGATGTATCAAAATAGTGCTTTTGATGTGCTTTCCCAGCCCCTGTTCAGAGGTCCTAGGTAAAAAAAAAAACAAAACAACAAACTCCAGAAGGCAGAGACCATCCTTTCAAAATATGGATGAGGGAATCATCAGTGTTACATTTTCGTACGAGACCTGGGACATTGGTGGTCTGGTTTCTAGAACCTACTTCTGTGCAAATAATTAGATATCATGACAGTAACAGCAGCAAGAGAATAATTTTGAGCTGACCCAAACAGGAATTGCATATAGCCCTTACCTTGGATTCATTTAGTGATTGTGAAATGATTTTGGTTTAAAAATTCATAGTGCTGGTTTCAGAGCTTGATCATAATCACTGTAGTAACATCTTAGTTTCCTCCTGTAGGCTGTGTAACTTCATATTATAATAGTCTTTGCAAGTTTTTTAAGCACTGGATTTGAAAAAATGGTGGTAAATATCTGGCTCTATCAAAGTCAAAAGTGGGCTTTGTTGTTGACTTTCAAGGTATCTGCGTTTGATTCTGTACATTTTAGAAAGGTTTTAAAGAATCTTTCAAGCTCTAGACTATTTCTTGAAACTGAAGAAACTGTATGAGTTTCCTAGAGCAACTCAAGAGGAATGACATAAATTAAATGGAAAAAAACCCCACGCACATTGCACAGCAAGAAAGCAGCTTCCTGTATGATAGAGCAAAGAAGGACTGTTGTGATGGGATGCCAAAGGTGAAAACTAGTAACTGCTGGCCGTGTCATGGACACATTCTGTAGCCATCCTTTTGACCCAGTAGTATCTCTTTTCTGGCTTTTATAGAAAACAACCATGTCAAGACAAGAGGCTGTTGGCCTTTTACTGCAGGTTTGCTTTCTTGATTATTCATCTTCCTGCTGTATTTACTCTATGCATTCTTTAATGAACTATGTGACCAAAACCTCAGCGTTTAGATAAAGACATCAGATAAACTTACTGTGTTAGACCATGAAGTGTGTGAAAACTGAAATAAAAACAACACTGAATTCAGCTGGAAAACAGATGTCTGCCTTATTTACTTCTGCTTACAAGGACAGGAACCATGGCATATTAGCTATTGTAGGGTCTAGCTTGGTGACAGTATAGTTGATAGTCATGGCAAATAGCAAGAATGTTTTAATAGTGTTAGACTGTTGCCATTAAAACTGGGAGAAAATAACATTCACTGTAGTAAAAGAAAGATGGAGCATATTAAATTCTGTTGTATGTGGCAGACCTTATGATTACCTAATGATTTATGGTCTTGCTTCTTTACATTCTTCACTAGATTGGAGGACCTGCGAGTGAAGTTACAGAATGAAGGACTGGTCAATATCTCATATGTAGTTGTTAACCATCAGGGAACTTCTTCCCAGAGGAAATTTCACCTACTGAAGGAAAGTGTTTCAGACTATATTACTGTCTACCAGCAAGATGAACAGCAAGCTGATGTCTGGACTACCTTAAATGGAAACAAAGATGACTTTCTCATCTATGACAGGTCTGTGTTTAGAGGGGAACAAAGGAAAATATCTGCGTGTATTTAGAGTAACACTTTGTAAATCTCTGTATTATTTCATTGATTTTCAAGTAACCTGATTACCTCACAACAAAGACATCATAATCAACTTCTAAGTTGCACTAAGTAAAGCACTGGCACTTTTACTGGAAAAAGGAAGCTACAAAAGAAAAGTCTGCTTTTGCTTAAGTAAGTTTGGGATAAATAAATGTTTCTTCATAATTATTGTGGATTTAGATTAATATAACTGAGTGTAGAATTTGATAGCGTGATAGTGGTCTTACACTGTTGTTATTTTCGAACAACTTCATTACATCCAGGCATGTGAAAGTAGAATCAAACGAGGAAAGATACGTGAGTTCTCATGAAGACATTTTGACCGACGTTGTTGAAAAAGCCATGTAGTCATATGGAAAAATTAGTCTTTAGATGAAACTTAAAACTTTGGAAGAAAATAGCTTTTTTTATCATAGGATTCTGGGCCATGTATCTTTTGGCTGAACAAGTAATAACTCTTCAATTGAAATCCTGATTTTTCGGGTTTGATGCGACGGAAATTATTTGATAAGTCTTGCACTTCTAGCATGTCCACCCTAATTACTGTTACATTCCTGTAACGGACATTCTCAGTTCATACTAAAATACAATTAAGTGTAATAAAGAATTAGAAAGTTCCTTAATTTTTTTTCAGTAATGATGTGATGAAATTGCGTGAACTGGCTAAATTAGGCTCATGGGATGAAACTAGCACTGGAATGATCTTTAGAAACTGACTGCATGTTGCAGCAGCAAATAGACCGAAGTATGGAAGGCGGCTGTCGTATGACAGACAAACAGAACAAGGCTGCATGTAGTCTGTGGAGACGCCCCAAAGCTGACGGCTTGCCCACAGCATTTGAAAGGTTGAACAGTTTTGTGCTGTTGACACACAGGATACACCTACGCTGTGAATTGGTTTGGCACTAGTCTGGCCATGATCCATTATGGTTCTAGGAATGTATGTCCTTACTGTGCCTCTACTGCCAATGAAGTCTTTGCCTTTTGCTGGTCCTAGATGTACAGTGCACACTTGTAGGGAGCCAAGGCTGGAGGACCACGTGTTGACATTGCAGGTGGGGTACTTAATGAGGTGCCCTTGTGTATGAGTTACACATTTACTCCAGCTCCTCTGAATGTACTAGTCGTGTAGCCAAGTGTGTACCAGAACACTGGAGTACAGACGTGGGGCAAATAGGCACCATAAAAATGCTGTCAGGCACACTAAGTAACACAGATGCATCACAATGCACATTCCTATCAGAAGGCGTGTTACGTTGCATTAAAACATCCTTGGTAAGGATGCAACAACCATATGGCAATTTGTACCACTCTGCAAACAGCCCTTCTCATTAGCAAGACAGGTAATGAGTGTACTTTTGCTAGTCTAAGTGCCGCTAAACTAGAGGCTTCTGACGGTAGAGTTACAATGTCAGCCAGAAATCATGCTTTACATTACTGACCAATGCAATTGAGTGGGCAAATGTTCATAAGGCAGATACTGTTTTTGCCTGTAAGCTCCTTGAACAGAAACGTTCTCCATGGGAGTATAGTTTATATGTATGTAACCACAGAGTTTTTTCTCTCCTTAGATGCGGCCGTCTAGTGTATCATCTGGGTCTGCCTTATTCCTTCCTGTCCTTTCAATATGTAGCAGAATCTATTAAGATTGCATACTGTGAAAACAAGTGTGGAAACTGCTCTTACATGGTATTTCCTTGTTTCATTCTACGTATACTAGGAAAGGAAACTGGATTTGACTGGTACTTAAAAAAAAAAAAAAAAATTACTTCAGTGTGATTAATCCAAAAAGACATGATTAAGAATCTGTGCATTTCATGTGTCTTGACAGAGAGCTTATAAGCATTTTTTCAAAGTGAATTATATCTAATTTGTAATAAAATGATGATCTAAATTCCTGCCCTTGATAGAAATGTAAAAAATTTTCAGAAATCTAATTGCAGTCTTGGAGGCTGATTCTGTTTCTGGAGGTACATACAGCTAGTGAGCATTTAGCTACTCTAGTTTTTGGGGATGGGTAGGTACTTAAATAGTTTTGGTTGATTTTTTTTAAACCTGGGCATCAAATCTGAGCCATGTTACTGTTCCTTTTAGTTTACATTTAAACACAGTATAGAACTGTTAACTTTAAATAAGTGATAATACAATGTCACAATTTATTGTAACCATTCTAAAGGAAGGGTGGCTTTGTTTTACATATAACTAAAGATCAGAACTAGTTTAAGGATTTCCAAGAAATGTACATACATAGTCATGAAAGTTCAATGAGAAGCAGCATAATTTTTGATTGCATCATAGTTTTCCAGCTAAATGCAAGCCTCAGGCAGGTCAGGTGTGGCATCCCAGAAGAAGAATACTTTTTATTAGCAATTACTTGAATTATAATTCCTAAAAGTTTACATTAAGAGCCCTGTCTAGTTATCAGTGGTGTTGTAAAACAAGTTTTTTGATATAGTCATCTCTTTCTTCAGCAAAGTAGCACAAACCATTTAAAACTGTGTTTCAGGTTCTGCAAAAATATTAAGATAATTAGTATTTTACATGTGGTTTAATTAAAAATAATGCCTTGTATTCAATGCAAGCTTCTGTTTTGCAGGAACCTGATATTGATGGTATATGTGAAAACATCACCAAAAAAGCAGATGAAAAGCTAGCAGAGGTAGAACCCAAACCAACCGGTCAACATTCACATCACCACAGCCTGCACAGACACAGACACCACCACCACCATCACGAGAGCAGCCGTCATTCCAAAAATGAGAATCATCAGTCTCCTTCTGAAACCCAAAGACATCATCCCCACAGCAGTCGGCGTCATAGAGTTTTTGGCCATAACACACATGATCAGACAGGTAGTCATGAACAGGTAGACATTGGTCCTCCAGGGGAAAGTGTGGAAATGACACAAGATAAAAAGCTATGAAAAAAAGGGAAGAACAGCTGTAAAAACCAGTTAACTTGACATTGGCAGACAGCATCAGACTCAGCTTCTAGTAACTGATGCTGTCATTGTCGACACCTTTTGTTTGAAGAGCTAGGAAATTCTGTCACTTGACAGTGTCGTGGAGCACTTCCAAGTTCTTGCAGGTGACATGGTCAGCTGTCAGCAGAGGACATCACTGAATCTTGACAGTGACGTCTGCTCACTGCTGCCTGACAGTCACCAGCAGCAGGAGCAACTGAAACTAGTGACACCTGACAGTGACAGGAAAAGGCAAGAAACTGAGCCTGAAAAACAAATTAAGCACCTTAAAAATGCAAGGGAGTCCTACTACCTAAATTCATACAGTTGCGAGAGTGGAAAAGTTAACAGATCAGGTGTTTTTATTGCCCCCATTTAAAAATTACAGTAAGACAGGTGTGTAGAGTTAAAATACTGCGAAGTAATAAAGCACTGCTCTTAAGATTACACAATACCTGTCAAATTCCATCAGTGAAAAGCTTCATAATTTAAAGGAATTTAATTGACCCGCAGTTTGTTTTTCAGTTGCACTGGGAAGGTGTCTGCATTCTTGATTAATTTGTCTTTCTTGTTTCTCTTCTAACATTCTGCTTGCATTTGTGAGGACAGGAGCATAAACTATGACCTAGGGGTTCCTGTCTGATGTTTTGCAATCAAGAACAGAAGATAAACAAAAGAGATTCTTTAATCGTTTTTTATTAAGAAGGAATATCTTCAAAAGGGTTTTTTGCTAACGTAGGGATACAAATTATGTACAAGAAAAGCTTATTCCTGAGCAAAGTGCAGAAATAACTTTTTATCTCAAATGTAAGATACAGGCAGTAATTGCAGTATTTTAACGTAACAGATTTATATGCTTAAATTTTGTGGCTTAGATATGGTATGAGGGTCCATTAATACATACTACTACAGCTTGTAAAATCCCACTAAATCAGTAAGATCGTGCTAAAAGTGAACAGCAGTGTTAACAACTCTTCATGCAGAATCAGTATCAAAAAGAGAGAGGAGCAGAACAAATTTAACTTGGTTTTCTGTTTATCTTTGTTTGTAACAGTGCTGAATTTGATAAATCTGTATTGATTAGTAAGATAACATACCACTTAAACTTGTATAACTTTTCTGGCTGTAGCTTAGCATTCCTAACCTTTCATTAACTCAGTTGAAGTAAAAATATAGTTGTTTGAAGGATTCCTGGATGAAGAATATTCAAGAAATGAAAACTGCTTTCAAAGTGTACACCATAATTAATGAGGGTTTAATAGGGAAATTATCACTCCTACAAAACCTGAATCTTTTTATTGTGAATGCTGATTAGCAAAGAAAGTAGCCCTGAATATATACAGAATGCATGCCTGTAGAATATTTGACAACAGCGTTTTCAATAAAACATACTCTGTATTTCTTCATATGTTGTTTTTTACTTTCAGGTGCACAGTTTGAAATACAGTTTCTATTTCTCATTGTATGCACTACTGAAGTACTTCATGACAGTTACTCAAAATCGCCTCCGTTTGAAGTGCAGATCTTGGCCTTTACCAAGACGTTGCTCCAAGTCTCTTACAGTGTTTCGAAGAGTTTGAATTTCATTGTTTTTTTCCTCTTGGAGATGCTGCAGCTTCTGTAAAAATGCAAGCAAAAGCTTAATTGTTAAACATCACATAGAATTATCTAAAAATACAATATGCTATTACTAATGAGAAATATTCTAAGAATATTCTTCTCAGTCTTTTGTATTACAAAATTACAAAGATGACTTCCCCAGGAACCCTATTTTTGTGACATCCCGAAGTCCCAAGCCTACAAAACCAGTAATGCACATATATAATATATATCACAGTCATTTATGTCTGTTCTATCTTAAGTTCCCAGGTTAACAATTCTGTACTAAAACCACTTCACATGTGGGATTTCTTTTTTTGTTGAACCCCAGCTATAGCAACACCAGTGCAAAGAGACGTGAAAGTAGTTGTCTAGAGATGGGAGGGATGTGTGGGAGAGTAAAATGGACCCATAAGGCACGAAATGCCACTCTACCCCACTCCCCCATGCCCCAAGTTTTGTTGCAGAACTGCTGTTTGAAACGGGCAGTAACAGGATTTAGTATCTGCAGACGACAAGCAATTAAAGCACATACCCTTCGATAGATACTTTGTGGTAAGACAGAAGCATCTGAAAATGATCTTGCTGTTCTATTCTGAACTCTTGCTAGTTTAGCATTGAACTGAAAGAACCAGGATAGGGTAAAACATTAAGAACCCACAGTGAAAAAAGTATGTTAAATAATACAAGTATAATTTTCACTTTTTTTTACAATTAGATTTTGTACCTGAAGGTAATAATAGCAAGCTTATCTACTATTTAATCAATGAAGGTACTTAAGTTTATTTTAAAAAGAATGCAATTACAAGTTATGTTTCTTTAAAGAAAAGCCTCAAAAGATTGCAAAAAGTAAACAGCACAAATACGGTAAACCAAATAGACGTAGATGAACAAGATGACTACTTGAAAAAATCTGTATGCTCCACAGCCACAAGGACGAGAAAATGCAGAGGATGCAAAAACCTCTGAAACCATCACCCCTCCCTCACATTCCAAGGATAACTCAGCCCAAATACTTTCACACCTTGTTTCTTTCTTGATATGTGAAAGGTTTGAACTATTTCCTTAATTGTTTCTGTAATGAGCGTGGCTTAAAACCTGAGCCATGAAATACATGTTGAATTATGTGACTCAAATCTCTGCAGAATTGGAAGTCTAAGCCCTTGGAAGTTTATAAAAGATGATACATCTTCCCAGCATTCAGAAATTAAAAAAAATAAAAACAAGCAGAAAACATTTTTAATGTTTTTATAGCTCAAAAACTAGCAAAATTTTCAAAATAATTTCATTTAAAACAAGAACACAGCAAAGTTCAGTCCCTCTATACAGCAGATGGAACTCAATTCCTAAGCAGAAGCGAGTCAGATACCATTATAGAAGGGAGCATATGATACTGATCTTTGTAAAGACAATTGTTTTTTAAGTTTCCTAGATTCCATCATATTATTTTGTTAAGCACTAATTAACATTTTTCACTACACAGTCTCTTCTAAGTTTACCCAATGTCCAATTATCTTTAACTGAGCTTTGTAATGCATACCTCTATCTGCAGTTTAATTATTTCATTCTGCTTCTCTTCATTTTGAATTTTCAGCTGTCTAGTTAGTTCTAGTATTTCCAGATCTTTTTTCTCTTTCTGTTCTCTATACTCCACTTCTTTTACTTCAACTAGTAACGCAGTAACACCAAATATGATGATTATAAAAGTTGTTTAGATGGAAAAGTAACATAATTTCCCAACTATTAAAACTTCTTGAACAGCAGGTCAATATTTCACAGGTAACAATTTTATGCAAGCAAAAACCATACTTTAAAACTATGTGAAAACCAACCTGTCCCATCCCAGTAAGATGGAGTCTCTTTAAAGAAACACCATATTTTACAAAGACTTGTCTGGCTTTTTTCATCTAAGTGGATGACCAAGAAATCCTACTCTTCAAAGCTATGCCAGTAATGGAAAAAAATTAAAATGGAAATTCATTTTTTCTTGTTGAAGTATTATTTATGTATGAAACTAATATCCTCCTCTCCGGAGTATAGCTGGAACACTCTTAAGAGCAGTCTAGCTTACAGTTCAAAGCAGTTTTCCAGTCAACACTGAACCCAAAATTTCATTCCTTCACATTTTTAGGTTCAAGTTCCCAGTGTCTGTTCTACCTGCTTGGGAATTTCTGCTCATCCTGTGTTGCTGTACTATGCTTTGCTGCCACTGTCTACTCTCTTGAGCAAAGATAACATTCAGTTACCGTCCACTTCTAGCTTTCATATGTTTCTACTAAGAAGCGGAACTTGCACTTACCCTAGGTGAAGTATAGCTCCTACTGATTACAAAATGCTTTACCCAATGGTCTAGCATTCAGTCTTCAGTGGACTTACGTTTTTTTCTTATATCACAATTCAACTGTGTTATTTCTAATTTGTGGTCTTCCTCTTTGTTTTTAATTTCTATCACAAGTTTCTCAATCTGATCTTTATATTCCTGAAAATGTAAAAAGCTTCATAAAAATGAAGGTTTCTGTGCTTTTAGCCTTCTGCAAAGCAATACAGTCACGTAAAAATGTACAGTACTCTATAATTCAGTACTTGTTTTATCCTTGATAAAGAAGATGTATGAACTGCTACAATAGAGATGAAGTATTATTCCCCTACCTAAAGAATGATCATTTGTGACGTACCTGTTCACAAGCCTTTAATTTCTCTTCCAAGATGTGGATGGTACCTTTCAGTCTGTCATTTTCATCTATGTAAATAAAAAACTATCTGATACACTAAAAAGTATACTTTGACAGCATTATTAGCATGAAAGCAGAATAAGAAAATCACTTTCATGTTTCGACTTGTATGAACTTTAAGTAACTTTTTTGTAGACATGATAATCATCATTTACAGAACTACATAATCTGTCTCCCATTTTTTTAACAAGAAAATTCATAGTTTAATCATAACATTTGCCTGCTGTTACTGCTTTGAACTGTCCTTAGCCTTCTGATAACTGATGCATTCATGAAAATTTAAATGCAAAGTTCTTTGGCTTAGAAAATAAAATATTACTATCAATCATGGCTACAACAGTTTCAAATTGGAAGATGCAACTTTTTAAGTACTTGTTTGCCCAAAACTAGAAAGTAGTAACTCAAAATAAAAATCTAGAAAAAGCAGATAATGCTTTTTTTAATTATTAAAAGTCACTTTGAGTACTAAAAGCAGCCATGTTTCTAATTTTTAGAGGTTTATTAATATTTATGCTAACATACCTTGAGCACACAACGGGTATAAAATTAACTACATGGTACACAGCTAAACTGTTGTATAGCAAATATTTACATATTTTATTTTAAAATAGCAATGAGTAATTGTCAAGTATTTATGGATAACAGCCACATTTCAATAACATTACACTGAGGATTAAGACTCTTTGGTTTGACAAAGTGATAAAAACTACAGTCCAACAGTTGAATGTTACTGTCTCACTTTTTGTAAAGTTGTCTGTGCTATGCTGAAAAAAATTTAAAGCCCAACTATTGATTAAAAAACCTCACTGAGGCAGAACTTCTTTTACATGTGGATTCTAAGTAGGATAATAGCAATAGACATTCATTAAGCATATAGACCACCAAAATTTATGCAAGATTGATGTTAGATATTTTTTCCTTTCTGTTTGGCTGCCAATGAGTTTCTCTCTCTGAAAAAAACAGTAAATATAAACAAAGAAAATCAAATGCCTGCTCACGGTGAATTACAGTACAGTAGTACAGTGTATATAAGAACATTTTTGCTCTTACCTTTCATGTTGCATTGGTTTTCAATGGTTTGTGTTAGACCCTTTATCACATTCTGTAGAGTAGTACATTCTAAAAGAAATTAAAAAGCCAGTATTTAAAAATAATTTCTTGACAATTTTAATTTTCTATTTTGTTTATAATCTTTTCTCAAATATTTTATAATCATCTGGATTAAATACTAGTCTAAGTCTTCTTACTGACTATAGAAATAACTCAGATTATTATTAGTTACTGCTTAATTTTAACTTCTAGTTTGATAATAGGTTAAAAACAATTTCATCAAGCAATGCAAACAATTTCGTAAAACTATCACATTTTTATTTCTAGCCAGATGTTACTGTTTTGTGGGGAATAATGGAAGTTTTCCATATCAGTATTTCAGCAATTTGATGTAATTAATGAAATGGAGGCTTACTTTCCTGACATTTTTGCCAAGATTCTTTTTAACAAGACCAACAGTATCCACTCATTGCAGTTCTCACCCCCTTTTTATTGCATATTAACATTCATCTTGTGTTTCAACATAAACTTAGATTCAGAATATGCTACTATGTCCCCATTATGTCATTTTAAACAAAATAATCATGTGTGTGTAGGTATATACATGCAACTTGTTATCATTTTACATATTTGTGTTTCATAATCTTATTTTTAATTGTATTTTTAATATTTGAACACCATATGGACTGCCTGTAATATAACATCTGGTTTTCATTAAATACTATTTTTATCCCCTATGTTCCTTATAACCTTATCAGTAAAGTTACAAAACATTCACAGACTAGGGACACTAAAACTGAGATTGCTTACTCTTAAAACCTTTCTTTCTATTTCCAGAGTACCACTGCATTTCTTAAGTGGCTTTTACTTTCCCCAACAGATAAAGTATGCTAAATACAGTTACTCATCTCATAAAACCAATGCACTGTTGAAAACAGTAGATCATATAATTAAAGACTACATGACAAATAATAGAGTCAGGATGATGAATTAAGATCCCAGCTCAGAGATTCAGTTTTCCCCTCAATCTTCTTGACCGTTAGTCTCTTCTTCCACCAAGTCCAACTTTCATGCAGCCAAGTACGTTAGCGAGCTGCATTCTCCCATTCCATGCTTCCAAAAAACAGCAGAGGGAGCACAAGCAGCACAGAAACATTGACTGCCCTCAATTCCTACACTGGATCAAAAGCATTTGTGGAAAAATCCTATTCAACGTCAGAAGCACTAGGTTAGTGTAGCCATTTGTACCAACTAGTTCTACTACAAATTTTCTCCCATTTGAAAAATGTGGGGAAATAAACCCAACTGCTTGTAATTCATGCACAAATTGGAAAGACATCTACGCATTTGAGTAGCAATAGGCCAGCAGCTACTCTTGCAATGAATCACAGCTATTTAACTGTGCAAGCCACTGTTTTGTCCAGTGCCAAGAATATCTGCTTGTCTTTCTTATCTTTAAAGGATGTATCTCGGCAAATACCTTATGTAATTACAGTTGTGACTGGAAAAAATTGCTGGGAACCCACAAGTTTTGCTTGCCTACTTTAAGGAAGAAAAAGCAAAATTTTGCTAAACGGTAGCAGCTTTGTGGATCACTGGTATACCATCTGTTATGGATTCTGTGTAGTTCCTTCCCTGTAAAGAATACTCCCTACATGCAGAAAGACTGAACAGCGTTAAGTGCTCTTTTTCCATGTTTAATGTCTATCATTTACTGCAGTTCCTTCCATCTGCATTTATAATTGAAGCTACTGGCTTTTTTTTTTTTAATAGGGTAATTACATCAATCACTTTTTCCCTTAAACACCTTTGAAACACTGTCAAAAAATATGCAGTCCTGAAGATGCTAAATAGAGCCACCTTAAGTGTTCCATAGACAATAATGTGATTGCTTTCTTTTTAAAAAGTGCAGTAGATTTTAGAATCTATTGCAGAATTGTAGCCTGTACCACAACCATTTAGTCACCACAGAAAAGGTTTAGGAGCAGAAAACAAGAGTGCCAGACTTGCATCTGTCTTAAGTGGATCTGCAATGATTTACACTAAACAAAAACTGAATCTCACCTTTATTTAGCAACGAACATAACAAAACAAAGCTTATTTATGATCTTTCAGAACATGTATACACTTGCCCAGTTGCTCATCTTTTCCCACCTTATCTTTGGTTCAAGAGTTTCACTCTCCTCTCTCCCCTGAGTTTTAGAAGTTTTCTTTCTTCCTTTGCATTTCCTTCAGACTTCCTAATCTGCTTTTATCTTAACAGTTCTAGAGAGAGACTTCCGGCAATCAAGGATATTAAGGAGCCCTCAGGTTCTCACACTTGTTGGAGATTTCTAAGGGTGTGAAATGCTATTCCTATTTTCTGTTTCTAATACTAACAAAGTTTTTCAGCCAGGATAAAATTCCACTTCCTCTGTCCCACCACCACTAGAAGCCACAAACCCTTCAGGGTAGGTGGAACAACAGCATTTCCTTCCATAGTGCTCTTTCTCTCTGCTCCTCTGCTGTAAGCAGCATGTTCACCTGGAATCATATGTGAACAATTCACCAGCACGTGGTCTCTCATCTTTTTTCCTTAGCTGTTCTGTGAACTGCTTTGTGGTCTACCTATAAGCCTTACGTTCTAAGGCTGAGTTGTTTACATATCCTGTAAATTAACTTGCTTTTGTGTTAAATTTGTCATAGGACAAACTTGAGAATGGTCTTCAACCTGAGAATATACATAAAGATTGGTATTGACACTGGTTCATCAAGAAATTGACACAGCCATCCAAACCCAGCAATTTCAGTTGCCTTTGGACTGATTCTTCTAAGTGATACTTTCAGGAAATGTGACTGAGCTGGGTTCTGGGAAGCAGCTTGGGACATAAGGCTAGGAGAAATATTTTATTCCAAGCCACAGTTGGCAGTATCACTGTATAAAAGCCATTCTCACAAATAGAGTCTGTGTGGTGGCTTGACACTGGTGGGACGACAGGTGCCACCAAGCTGCTCAATCACTCCCCTCCTCAGCCAGGATGGGGCAGGAGAAGTTAGGATGGAAAAAAATAACCAATCACGTGGGTCAAGGTAAAGGCAGTTTAATAAGCAGAAAGCAAAGGCTGCGCACAGAAACAAAAGAAAATAAAAAATTTACTCTCTACTTCCCATCAGCAGGTGATGCTCAGCCACTTCCCAGGAAGCAGGGCTTCAATACGCACAGCAGTTGCTCCTGAAGACAAACAGCAGAAAAAACGAATGCCCCCCCTTCCCCAGCTTTCTCTTCACTTTTATTGCTGAGATGACACCATATGGTATAGAATATCCCTTTGGCCAGTTTAGGTCAGCTGTCCTGGCTGTGTCCCCTCTCAAGATCTTGGCCACCCCCAGCCTACTGGGGGGGAGGGAGGAGAGAATGTTGGAGAGGCAGCCTTGATGCTGTGCCAGCACTGCCCAGCAGTAGACAAAACACTGGTGTGTTACCAACAGTGTTCCAGCTACCAGTACCAACCACAGCACTATGAGGGCTGCTATGGGGAAAACTAACTCCATCCCAGCCAGACCCAATACAGTCTGCTAGGATAACTGTTGCCAGAGTAAGAATGGAAATATCAACACCACATTTGGTCCCTTGCATCTTCTCCAGTGCTGCACAGAATACTTCTATAACCCCATCAATGATAAAAATTGTTTTTTTAATCCCACAGTGCTTTGACTTTCAAAAAGGTTTCACAAAGAATTGAACTAGAGATGCAACATTTTCAGTGCTCTGACTCTGAATACACAGTATGCTGTTACCCCTTCTGAAGGGTCAATATTGCAGGTGAGTATGATAAAGGTGCAAAGACCATTTCTATTCATTTCAAAAAGAAAAAGCAAATTTCTTTAGTAACATTACATACTTACTATAACTTACAATCACTACACCAACCGTAATGTCCTTTTGACATACTTTTAATGTTACAGACACTGCTGATTTCCAGTAACATGGTAACTGTGTATCTGAAGGTTCCTCTGACAGCGTCCACTGCAGATTATGGCAATTTGCTGCCCAAGATGTTTTGTGAAACTCTGCTTTCTGGTCACGATTAATGAATAGAGTTTAAAAATATAAACATATAAGCACTTCATGCCATGATACTTGTATTTACCTTATTGGTAAGCACGTCAATCTAACAGAACAGCCATGGTAACTGCTTAAATTTCTAAATATATTCCATCCCTTTGGCACCTCTCATTTACCTTTTACTTCCTTAACATCAAGTAGCTTTCAGAGCCACCTCTTGCATGTCCCACATTGTTCCAAGTTCCCGCTTTTCACTTTTGTCATTACTGGTACTAACAGCTCTGCAATCTCACTTACTCATTGACCATTATTATCGGCTTCCAACAGTTCTGCCTCCTATCGATATCTGTACTAATTTGTACAACTACCATGACTTCAATATTATGCAGATTTGTTTTTTTCTGACTAACTTCGCTGCTAAAACTTTAGTTCATATTTCATGCTGATTGCTCTGGTATTTTTACTTGGACTTCTGCCATCCACATGTTTTTTTTCCATCATGTGTTTCAAAACAGCTCCAGAGGTCATTCTCTTCAGTTATATCAGCATAACTATCTCCTCAAATCATTGCACTCGTCTCACTGAAGTGAGGCACTACTATTTACAAAGTTCAAATCTCTCTTCTGAATTTCATCTGTTTTCAGTCCACTCTACTTCCACAGTCACTGTTGCAGTCATCACAGCTGCTCTGATTTCCTGAGTTGTCTCTTTCACTTTCTCTGCTATCTTTTATCCCATAGGTTTTATGGTAAGAAAAAATTCTTATTTTTGTCCACCTTTTCCTTCCCCTTTTTTAAGTCTATTTCACAGAAACCCACTCCTCTCTCTTTTTGTCAATAATGAAGCCTCTTGATCTCTTTCTGAGTGACTGTCCTGCATTGTCTTTTGTGCTTAATAGAGAAACAAATGGCTCTGAGTCAGACCAAAGTTCCATCCAGTTCACTGTCAGACTTCACAACACCCAGCAGAAGATACTTCAGGAAAGAGGGAAAAAAGCTGGATAACCACTACCCTTTCAGCTTCCCAAACACAAAAATAAGGGAGACCTGAGTGAGAGGTACTCTGTGTTTAACAGATTTGTTAAGTTTTGTTACATCAATTTTTCTAATCTTTTTTAACTGTTCTGTACTTCTGTTATCCCCAAGCTTCTGTGGAACTGCTTTAACAACTTTAGTTTGTACCACATGAAAAAGTTCCTAATTTTATTTGCTTTAAATCAGTCAACAAGTTTGATTTCCATCTAGTTCTCTTATTAAACAGTCGATATTCATTCCTTAGTCACTTTCTCTATGCCATTCATAATTTTACAGCTGTGAGTCATACCAGCTCTATTCTTTCTCTTCAAGCTGAGAAGTTTCCAGTCAACTTAAGTCTTTCTTCAGATGTTCCAAAATTGTAACCAAACATCTGAGGGCCCCAAATGCATTCTCCCCCACCCACCTCCTGGGTGTTTGTCTGGGCTCTAGGCCAATTTAGAAAGAGTACAGCTGGTGACCTTGAAAAAAGCTGTTTGAAGAAAGCTGGAAGAAGGCTCAGAAATGGCTGCCCCTCCTTCCCTTGGGGGGGGCTTTTAAGATGAGGCCTTTGCCCTTGGCCTACCTTGAGCTACGCTGCAGCTGTGTTACAGCCATATATCGTGCAGACCTAGACTCTGGTCATGACCTAGGGAGTGGCTTCCTGGCTTGATTTCAGACCTGCCTCATCACTATGGACCTGCTAGGGATCAGTAGACCATGTCTGGCCCTTGTTACCATTTCTGGACCTGATCCTGACTCAATCTCCTGTCTTGACCTTGGACCTGCTCCATCACTATGTACTTGTTGGGTAATGTGGACTTTTGGCTGACCCTGGCAGCCCTCACTGGGCCAGCCCTGCATCGGTATGGTGGGAGTGGGTCTTGGCTGGTGAAGCCCCTACCTCTGTAGGCCTTGTTACATGATTGGTTCCCAATTCCCTGTCCCTTGCTCCTCCCTGACAATACCAAATCTTGCCTACTTCTGTGTTATCTTTTCTGCTACTGGTATGTCTATTTTGAAATGTGGGAACCAGAACATTACACGAAAATCACATACTTTACAGGAACATGGTGTATGTTTCTCTATTTCTTCCATAATCATGCCTATGACTGTATTTGCTTCTTTGATTACCAGTATTTTCAGAGAACTGTCCAGAAAGACACCAACATCTCTTTCCTGAGAAGCAGCTAACCAGAGCCAACCACTGTTTATATAAAATGCCTGCCATATGCATTGCTACTGGTTTTCATCTCCCCTTTTTATCACTTGTCATTCTGTATCATAAAATTCTTGGTGTAACTGCATAGATTAGCATCATTAGCAAAATTCATTCACTCAATAACTTTTACAATTAAGTTTGGATTACATTAAATTATTTAAGTCCCAGCGAAGACCTAAGTGAAAATGACTGACAATCTCACTCCAGCATGAAACAAAGTATATTCCTACCCTGTTCCCTAACTTTTAGCAAGTTGACTTGTCAGAGACCAAACTTCTACAAAAAGTTGCACCTTTCAGCCATTCTACTGACTACAGAAAAATAAGTAACCACAAATCTAGGCTAAGTACTAGAGACTATTTCTCTTTTCAAATACCCACCTGAAAAGACATACTTCTAAAACAAACAAAAATCTTAATGTAATAGTTTTGTCTTTATTCCTCCTTTAGTTGGCAACTTTTTTATTATGCAGAGCCTTAAAATTCCCATCTCTAAAACAGTAAATGCCATTTCATTATTTAGCTTCCACTGAACAGTTTGAATCCTTGTAATATTAATATAAACCATTATTATCATTCAAAACTATTTAACACCACAATGACATCTGCTATACAAAGGAAAAGAAATATGACCAAAATTCAAATCACATTAAAGCTGACAGGAACACAAGTGCAGCCTATGGAATAAACTTACAACAGTGGTATCAGCTTAACTGAACGTAACCTTGAAGGATTGTGTGCTATTCCTTACACTTTATAACTGAGTTGGAAATGCCACTGAGATAAAATGTTGGCAGTGACATTATAAACACAAAATGGGCTGTCACATTGTTTAATCACAGAATCATAGAATAGTTCGGGTTGGAAGGGACCTTAAAGGTCATCTATACCAACCAACATCTGCAACTAGATCAGGTTGCTCAGAGACCCATCCAACCTGACCTTCAATGTGTCCAGGGATGGGGCATCTACCACCTCTCCGGGAAAACTGTGCCAGTGTTTCACCACCCTCATTGTGAAAAATTTCTTCCTTAGACCTAGTCTCAGTCTGCCCTCTTTTACTTTAAAACCATTACCTTTTGTCCTCTTGCAACAGGCCCTGCTAAAAAGTCTGTCCTCATCGTTTTTCTAAGACCCCTTTAAGGACTGGAAGGCTGCAATGAGGTATCCCCAGAGCCTTCTCTTCTCCAGGCTAAACAACCCCAACTCTCTCAGCCTGTCCTCATAGAAGAGGTGTTCCATCCCTCTGATCATTGTTGTGGCCTCCTCTGGACCTGCTCCAACAGATCCATGTCTTTCCTGTGCTGAGGGCTCCAAAGCTGGATGCAGTTCTTCTTTCATAGGTACTGCATGCATTCAGTCTCTTAAAATGAATGGGTATTAACATCAACTGGAAAATAGTTACTTTAATGCAGTTCTTAAAATATGTTTGTGCGTAATAAAGTTATCTGGTTTATGCAAATGAGATGGATCCCATTACATGACCCAAGATTAAGCATTACTTTTTTTCACACAGTATCTTATCCTTGCTATTTTTTTTATATGACTGAAAATAATGGAAATATTTCTCAGAACTTCCTGAATATATGCAAAAGCCATATTATTTTTTTTTTTAAATTACCTTCTTTTACTGATTCCTCCTTTGATTGGCTTAATGTTAATAACCTGTTATGTTTTTCCAGCTGAAGAACCAGTAGGTTATTTGCTTCATTAATTTCTGATATTTTCTAGAAAAGTGGAAAAAGACTAAAGTTATATTAATACCTTTTGATTTAATTTTTAAATCCATTATACAGAAGAACGATGCTATACTTGAAAGCCTGTGCTATTGATAGTTTACCCTGCAGAACTAAAAATGCTAACTTACACCACTGGTTATAAACTGGTTTCTCTCAGTTATGTAGTCCACAGTCTGGATCAATCATCAGCAAGGTCCTTTCCACTGCTTTGCAATGCCCTTGCTGAGTACCAACATGAGTAATGGGTGTGAATACCAATTGTTAAATGTTTTTTCAAGAAGAAATGCTAAATTTACTTCAGGTGACCCTTTTATTTTATCTTGAGTATAGATGTACTGATCAGGATCAATCACCAGAGAGCTGGCCAATGTCGGTCTAAAAAGAAACACAGTACTGATTTTCGTCCATGGATCAACCTTTTAAGAACTGACATATATGTAAAACAAAGAGATCTCAATGCATATGGAACATAAGAACAGGTGCTCCTGCTATGGCAGTGACATTTTTCTAGAACAAGGAACAATTTCTGCAAATTGTGCATCAAAGTTGTATAATACCGTTATCTGCAACAGCAGCTTCTGATACAAAGGAACACTTCCACGCTTTTCCTGAGAAGCCAAAATTTGTGTCAGAACCATTAAAATTCTAGTACAGAAACAAAGGCTTCTCCAACTCCACAGAAGTCACTCATAACACTTTGCGATACAGTCAATACAAACACTTTCCAAACAAAGTTGGTATTACAAGGCATATTAATAAGCTGATACCACTTAGAAGAAATTTTCACTTGAAAAGCTTATTAAAATGTCACAAAATATTTATAGACAGCAGTTTCAACATTTTTTACCTTCTTCACTTACCTTTTCTATCTCTGAAAAGTTATCTAAAAGTTTATCAAGGTTCACCACACTGATTTTCTTCATAGTTTCTTCATGGCTGTGATTCATTTACTTCTAGACTGTGTAATCCAGTTGTCACGGTATATAAAAAAAATAGATCTATGAATTCATATATTTCTCATTCATACTATGTCGAAAGATTTGATATGCACAAACGTAAGCAGAACAAAGAAGCACTTTCTTTTTTAATTAAAACTATTTTTGCATGTGAAGCTAAATTTCAACTAACCTAAGATTTTGCATTTCTAGGAAATACAATGAATGCCAGAAAGCCCATGCAAAATCTGTCAAACCATTAGATGATATAGTTGAATGTGGAATTTTTTGCCGCAGTTAAAAAATAAACCTGAATAGACTTCCATAGATACAATGACCCAATTTTACCTTAATATATTAGTGGTCTGCACATAGGATGCTTTTAAATCATATGACTAATTTCTCTTTAGATATGCTGCTAAAACAGACTGGTCTTCCTCTCCTCTTCTTTAAGGCGTAGGAAATTCAATCAATTGAAACAATTACTCATTCTCTACTGTGTGTATTTTAGAGGCAACAAATGAAATTTTGTTAAGTTTGATTAATTTAAAAAATGTTACTTAAGTAAATGATATTTTACCAGGCACACATTAATGCAGGATCTAGACTTTTTACCTGTGTAGATGCTCTAAAACTACTCAGGCTTTCAGTGATGAGACACTGCAGCACATAAACTTTACCGTGTGAGTAGAAAGACAGTATTTTGAAAAGCACCCATATAATTCCAGATTATTAACACAGTTCCTATTTCTAGTAGAAATTCTACTTACAGAATCTTCAACATACATTTGCACTATGGAACTGAAAGACACAATATGAATACTTCCAAAAATACTGAAACGATCTCTGAACAACAGGCTCCATGAAAACAAAAAATCCAATACCAGATGAACCATGTATTTCAGACATAATCATTACTTATATGTGGTAAGATATGAAATGTGTTTTCACATATAACAAAAATTTGCAATGATAGAGATGAACCAGAAGTTAGAAAGCGTGCACTACCCAGAAACTGAATAGGTTTCTGTCAGACATACTTACAGTGAAGTTAGGTAGAAACAGACACGTAAATGAACAACTACTAAGCAGGAACCAAAATTACATAACAATTATTTTCTCAGTCATTCAATATTTACAAGTCTTTACATGTATGTAACTTTCTTAACAAAGCAGTTAAAGATATTGGCTCTGTGTTTAATACTAATTTTTCTCTTGTACCCACTGTTTCCTCAGAAGGCCTAAACTAATTCATTAGCTAAAGCTAATTAACTTTTTTTTAATTCAACAATTTTTAAGGATATATGTACCATTAAAGAACTAATGCTTCTAAGTTAAATTAGTGATATTTTACTAAGTTAGCAATCTTAATGACTTCTGTTAGAACAATGCAATGATCTGTCAAAATGGAGTTTAAAGTATTTATTCAGAACATTAAATTTTGTAAATCAATTACATATCTTAATATTCTATTCATTGAAAACCTAAAACCTATGAATGCCAAGCCCTGATCTTTCCACTCCTTATCACGGGCAGTATCTTATCTGTTTGTCAATCACTGTTTCTTTTCATCATGCTTTTAAAACTGTGGTTTACTCTCTAAATTTTGACTGAGGATGGGAGTTCAGGGAGCTGCCATGTTGTGTGCTGCTTTATGTGTTTCCTTATTCCATGGCATCATTTGTTTTCTCAGACGACAGGATGTGCTCAGCACTTGGCTGCATTAGGCAACAGTGCCACTGGGAATAAAAC